TATGGGGCGCATAACAAACCAATAGAAAGTTTGGGGGTAAAAAAATGCCCCATGTTCGCATGCAGTTTTTTGGTGGGGGCATTTTACTAAATTTGAATGTGACTTGTGGTAGTAAAATATCCAAATATATCCCAAATAATTATTCTTTCTTTGTTTTTCTTCCCTGAAAGTGAAGTGGTTGCCACATTCGGAATAACTATCTGTATCACACCTTGTTGCTAAGCTGTTATCACATATTTCCATTAGCAATGCAATACCCTTCTAATCTCTGTGACTTTATGCAATATCTGGCCTGAGATGAAAAGCAGCAGCTCATGACTGTCAGTACCTAATTTACCTTTAAAACACTGTGTGTGTGTCTGAGAGAGAGAGAGAGAGAGATCTGAAATGAATGGCCAGGAAGTGCACCCTGATTACCTTTTGCTACTGCTTCCAGTGTTCTACCTGAGAAAAAGCATTGGGTTTAGCATTTTAGGAACCCTTCAGTCTAGCTTAGTGAACTTCAGTAACCTTATTTAGAGGCTATTGGAGAATGAAAATAGCTCTTCCCTGAGTTGGTTTGCTATATTCAGTACTGAGCACTGGGCAACACTGCTAGGTTATACTATAATTCTAACTTCTGCAAGCTAAACAAACATTTTGTTTGCATAGCAATTGCACAACTGTTGATGGGCTACAATTCAAAAGACATTTTGACATGCTTCAGAAAAATTTGAATAACCAGTGTTCATTTCTAGCTGAGTGTGACAACTTACTGAGTGGTTAGGCACAAGGTGGAAGCCACCTGAGGTCCACATTTTTCTCATCTCCCATTTCTATTCTTTCATGCAATAAATATGAATCACATACTCTGCTTTCTGAAAGTTGCCTATTTTAAACTCTTGTTAGGAGAATTTGCACACGATTCCAAACATACCTTGGCTTGGATCTTTACTTTCCATGAGCAGAAGAGGGTTCTTGTTCATAGAACTGAGCTTTCCCACTTTCTCTGAGTCTCTGCATACCATTCCCTCCAGATTTGCCTCAGGGTCTGAAGAAGCAAGGGGTGTGCGGATAAAGGGAGTGGGGGTTAGGCAAAATCAACCTCTCCCTTACATGAATCAAGGTGCAATTTATGATCTAAGCCAGTGTGTTTGCTGGTCTCTGGGATACTGCGATATGGCCATTTAATTCTCAATAGTAGCAGACTAATTAAAGTGGTGTCATGCAGGTTATTGGTTATTTCTTCAGAAGACTAGATACAGCCTTCCACAACCAGGTGGTCACAGGATGTGCTAGATTTTAACTCGTATCAGCTGCTGTCCAATGCTCTGTAATGCTGAGTAGTGTTGTACTCCAAAGCATCTTTGATGCTTGGAGAAGGCTACACTAGAGCATACAGACCAGGTTCACAAAGCATGACAAGCTGCCCTCATTGTATCTTGTGAACCTGCCATGATTTATTAAGGGTGGCTTATAAGTCATTCTCTAAGTGCAACTCCAACAGGCTATGGTTTATTGTAGGGTTTAACAGTAACCCCTAGGTGTAGCTGCCATTTAGCAAGGGTGGCAAGAAACCCTTGTTGCTCTAAGTAGCTGGCCACAAGGGGCAGGATGGGGTGGAAACTGCTGAGCTGACTGCATCTGCCTCTTTGCTGTGGCCACCATCCCTTGGGAATGGTAGTCACAGCGGGGGCTGAATATCAGCTTGGCTGACTCGTGAGTCACCCGAGCCAACTGTGGCTCACCCCGTCCAGTGCAGCACCAGGCAGGCAGGGTGCCCTTCTAAGGCATGGCTCTCCCATCCATTGGCGCTGCTGAGTGGCTGCAGCACCAGCAGGGGCAGCACATGCTGCTCCCCATCCCTGGTCTGGTGCTGCTCCCGTACAGCAGCAGTACCAGACAGGAGGACCAAGTTGGAAACATGGCAGAGGTGGCTTAAACAAAATTGGCAGCTGCCCTGGCAGCCCTCACCACAACCCACGCGGTCTATTCATGCATTTGGGTAGAGATTGTCAGCAACCCCCTGCTCCCTTGCTCCTCCCTCTGTCCACCTCCACTTTTAAGTGGGTGGGGGGATGTTGGTACTCCTGCAGAGTATCCTTTGAGATACCTGCAGGAGAAATGAGAGGGGCCACTGGAGCTCCTCTAGCAAGAGGCCCAGTGATCTGTCGCGGTCCAGAAAGAAGTGTTTCTGCTTGCTTCCATTTCGTTCAAGATCTGCTAGCTTCCCATGGTGCTAGCAGTAAATCCCACTAGTGCAGGGGCAGCATTAATACCTCAGTGTACCCTCAGAGGCATCCGAACCTCGGTGTGCTCATTGTCCATGGAATGCTGGCTGAGTGTTGGGAGAGCAGGTGGAAATTGGATGGAATTGATCGTTGCTGTTGGTGGGCACTCCACAATGTCCCATTTGTGGCAGGTCTCATTTTTTTAGACACACACACAGATGGCACTGAAACAACCCCTGTTTTTTTCCAGTTAACAATTTGCAGGTTTCTTTGGCTCAGTCACCTGGTCTATTATTTTAGTTACGTTTTCATTACATAGAAAAAATGTGTATTACAATTATGGGTGCAACAGATTTGCAAATGTGTGTGCCAGTGTCAGAAACCCCATTCAATAAGGCTTTTATTAGGTCAAGTGGTAATTGATGTGACTGCAAATAATGTAATCTACACTTTAGTCCATTGCTCTTGGAAAATTATTATATTTTAATCATCTGAAAACATTTTAATATTTAAAAAATCAAATCAACTTTGTTTTCATTGTTACGTGAAGACCCTCTGCATCATTCATGACGGAAGGGTAGAATATTTAAAATTCAACAACTTACATGTAAATTATGAACAATCTAAAATTTTGGTCTTAGCAAGAAAATGGAAAAAACTCAGCTGGAACTGTAACAGAAACAAAACCAAGGAAGCTAAACAGTGCAATATCTTGGTATTACCTCTCATTACAATCACTTCTGGTTAGCACATTATGAAGCAACAGTAAATGCAGCCAGATTCACAGTTCAAACTATTACCCAATTTTATTAAAAACAAGGTAATAGATAAGTAGTTTGTATAAATGCAACTTTAATTTCCTTATACTAATAAGTTAAAATTCTTTAAAAATGCACCAATATTACCCTGGAATTCTTTTTTCATTTCCAGTCACCATCATCAGATAACTCTTTGTGCCTCTTGTGTACCTTATTGTTGATGGAACAATTTATAACTGTTTCAGAAATGCTTCTCCAAAACCTTCCTTTTGAGTGCCATCCACCCCTCCTCAACTCACTTACCTTCCAGTAACCTATCCCAGGAGACATTCCCCAGTCTGGCCTTCAGTTGGCCAAAGTTGGCCCTCTTCAAGTCCCAGCTTCTAGTGCTCAACCTGCTGCACGTCCCCTGTCCCCTGTCCCCTGTTGTCAAAGCAAAGGATGGAGTGATCACTCCCATCCAGAGCTCCCCTAATCTGTACTTCATCTATCAGCTCCTCTCTATTGGTCAAGACCAAGTCAAGGATGTTCCCCCCCCTCGTCGCCTTTCGGACCCTCTGTGTGAAAAACCTTCTATAGCTTCTAGGAAGCAACGTGACCTGGCTGGCACTGCCGAGTGAGTCTCCCAAGTAATATCTGGGAGATTGAAATCTCCCATAATTACTGTGTCTCTCCCCTGAGATATCCTTAGAATCTGGTCTGTCAGGCAGAATCTGGTCTGTCAGGACTTAAGGTCATTCTCAGGAATGGAACTCATCTGTAACCCAGAGACTACCTGTATATTAATTACCACTGAGTAATAGATTCTTTTAAAAAAATGAGTGTGCCATATGGAGCTTCAAGAGACAAGAGGCCACAATGTCTCTTCAGGCATGACCAATGCCAGTATCTTGAAGCAAATGAGGAGACAGTTGTTGTTGTTGTTGTTGTTACAACTGCATTTCTATCCTGCCCCTTTCCTCTTGTGAAAAACCCAAGACAGCATACATAGCCCTTCTTCTCTCCATTGTAACTTAATAACAACAATCCTGTGAGGTAGGTTGGGCTGAGAATGAGTGAGTAGCCCAAAGGCACCCAGGGAATTTCATGGCTGAGTGGGGACTAGAACCTGAATCTCCCAGGTCACTAGTCCAACACTCTGACCACCACACCGGCTCTCAAGACATTGGTGCTGCCAGTATGTGCCTGTCATTGCACAGTCCGTGGCTCATCAATTTGAATGCAGTTATTTAGGAGCGGTATACTAAAAGGAGCAGCCAGAAAAGGCTGCAAAAGACTCTTGGGGTAAGAAGGGAAGAGATGGGCTCTGAAGCCATCTTCAGGCCTTCCTACTTAATGAAGGAAAGGTGAGAGTGGAACAGAAGGGAAACACCTGGGCACATTGTGGTAGAGGTTATTAAAGAAAAAACACATAGAAAACACATGTTCAACAATGGATTTACATTGCTAAGCAAAAAAAAAAAAAAAAAAACAGATGTCCTGAATCCTTTTTTACCTCTTTTTGAAAAAGGATGTAAGGCATGCTTACATTGCACCTCTTCCCTTTTTCTTCTCATTTTCTAGACATTTTCTTTTTTTATTGATAAACTGGTTTAGAAAGAATAGCGTTTCAAATCTGTCTAGTGAAACACAAGCTCCCAACATAAAACAAAACGAATTCTTTAAATGAGCTACCTGTTACCTAGATGCAGAAGCAGCTGGTTATTTACAGACTCATTTTTATTTGAACCATCATCATGCTGAAGAGTTTGACGCTGACACTCAGTTTTCCAAATTAGATTACTTTTAGACTTCTGGGTTGGTTGGTTGGTGAAGGGGTACTGTGAGCCTCAACAGATAGATTGAACAGGAATTTTGGGAAATAGCTTTTAGATAAAAAGATTGAATTTTGATTTGTTGATAACTGTGCAAATTTTTAAACATTTTCCTCTGAAGGAAAGTGTCCTAATAAATTATTCTTTGGTGATTTCAGCAACTGGGTCATATGTTGTATCTGCAAGTTACAATGCTAAAACTCTCTTTTCTCTGGCAGTGGAACCTTGTCTGTAACCAGGACTGGAAATCACCGCTAACTACCTCTTTGTTCTTTGTGGGTGTGCTGCTGGGATCCTTTGTGTCCGGTCAGCTCTCAGACAGGTAAAGTGCGTATACATGTTTCCTTTTTATACACAGCTCTTAACATTCAGTTTGATTTTAAACTGTAGTGAATTGTCCTGTAATATGTTAACTTTGACTTGCAACTTTCCCTGCCATAATTCCAACTAGTATCAAATGGATTCCAAATTAGGCTGCCCTCAAAACAAAGTTGATCTGTTTTGATATTTTTCTTTACATATCAGATGAACCTATCACAGATATGAATGCCATTCTGTCACCTTGGAGTAATTAAAGGGTCACAGTGAGGTGTTGTTGGTGACATTACTTAATTTCCTTACTTAGCAATCTGTACATATGTAATAATTTCTTCATTGATTGGAATTAAACATGGTATACATATTCAGGTTATAGCTGTACATTTCATCTTTGAAACCTGAGGGAAGGGACTAGCTTGCAGAGGTGAATCTGAGGAGGCTGATTTCATGCCACAAGTGCATTTGGGATAGAGCACTGGTCTTCACAGGGCATCCTTGTCCCACAAGCAAGAAACTTTCAGATAGGAAAAATTACTTGACTTCTCTCTGCCCAAATCTGGAGAACTGGAACAAGAACAAGAGGGGGTTCTGAAAATGCATAGGTATCCTTTCAATCCTGAATGGAGCCTTCCAATCAAACCTGTAATTAACTTTCAGTGAGGATAATCCAGTGCTGATCATTCTTCATGTATCTTAAGTGAGGACATTGCTCCAGGCATTTGAAAGCTTGATGAAAATGAGTTGGTCCATGCTTTTTTATTGTCTTTACAAAGTCTCCCTAATCTTTTATTGTTTTGTTTATCTTTGTCCCATGCTAGGTTTGGTAGGAAGACTGTACTCTTTATAACAATGGGGATTCAGACTGGCTTTAGCTTCCTCCAAGTCTTCTCAACAAGCTGGGAGATGTTTTCCATCCTCTTTCTCATTGTTGGATTGGGGCAAATCTCTAATTATGTAGCAGCATTTGTACTTGGTAAGTAGCCATGCTAATAATTTGTAGCAACTACTTGGAGGAGGTTGGGATTGAACTTCTCTGGGAAATGGCATCAGTTAAACCAATAGTACAGTCTAATAGCACAGTTGACACAGAAGTAAGTCCCGTTGTGTCTAATGGGAATTAGTCCCACTTAGGTGTGCATAGGGATTGCAATCTAGGATGCCTGCATGATAAACTATTCCCACAGAACTGTTTTTGAATATTTGAAGCAAAAGCTTAGGAAAAACAAAGACTTGACACTAGACAAGGTAACACTCTATGGAAAAATATTAGAAAGGTATAGTGGTGAAGAGGCTGCAGAGGGGACCTGGGCACTAGTCTGCACTCAGCCATGAAGCCGCCTGGGTGACTTTAGGCCAGTCACTGCCTCTCAGCCTAACCTGCCTCCCAGGGTGGTGGTGGTTGTCAGGATAAAATGGAGAGGAGGAGAACATTGTAAACCACATTGAGTTCCTTGTACAAGGAGGGATATTGTATTTGGTTAATTGCTGTGAGCTGCTCAGAGAGCTTTGGCTGTTGGGAGGTATAGAAATGGAATAAATAAATCTTAAGTGCAGCGGCACATTTTCTCAGTGAGTGGTTCCTCTTTTATGCCTCCTTACTGACTCCACCCTCCAATCAGCATTGTCAATTTTGCTAGGCTTGACAATGAACATAGGTTTACCTTTTAAAGACTTTGCTCTGCAGAAAAGTATAAACTGGTAGGTTATTGCATACCTACAATACAAGTCTGAAATAAACACACATGGCATAAGACAGTATGATGAAACTGAAGCTGTTATACTTTGGGCACATTAATTGAAGGCAATACTCACTGGAGAAAGTAGAAGGCAGAAGAAGGGGAAAACCAACTGTGAGATGGATCAATTCCACAGCCTTGAGTTGCAGAGCTGTCAAAACCAGGACATTTTGGAAGGCATTCAGAGGTCACCATAAGTTCAAGAACTTGATGGCACATCTCAATAGCAATAACAGATATTCTTAAGGTGTTCTAAGGTTCCTAGTATGTTCTCTCATTGTTGAACTCTACACGTTAAGGCAGCCTTCCTCAGTTGTTTTGGACTTGAACTTTAGTCACCCTCAGCCAGCATGGCCAATGATCTGGATTTCTGAGAGTTGTAGAGTTGTAGTCCCAAACCTCTGGAGGGCACCCAGGTGGTCAAGGCTGTTTCAAGAAGTCTTATATAGTGGGATGTGTTTTAGTTACAATGCTAATCAACATTCACTTGTTCTGAACAGGTACCGAAATTCTGGGCAAATCAGTCCGTATTATATACTGCACTTTAGGTGTTTGCATATTTTATGCATTTGGCTACATGTTCCTGCCACTGTGTGCTTACTTCATCAGAGACTGGCGGATGCTGCTACTGGCTCTTACTGTGCCTGGGCTGCTGTACATTCCACTGTGGTGGTGAGTGTACCTTACAATAAGGGTGTTTACATTTGGAAAGCCCTGCCAAACCGGTGTCAGCCAGTGCCCTTAGTGAGGAAGCTCCATGACTCAAGTCAACCATCTGGCTGCCCATAAGCTTCTGAACTGGGAGAATTCCTGTCATTCAGTTGAGTGCAGAAGGGAGGCAGAGCCAAAGATTGTCCCCTAGTTTCTCCCACCCTCCAGAAGACATATACAGTGGTATCTTGGCTCACGAACGCTTCAGTTCACAACCAAATCAGGTTGCAAACAGAAATTTCTGAAAAATTTTGCCGCAGGTTGCAAACTCTGTATTGGGTGATGATCGTGAGCACACCTGCCTTCCCTGCATGGGCACGATCATGGTGGTGCTGGGGGGGGTGGGGGGAGATGGCCGCGATTGCGCCCGTGTTCCCTGCCTGAGCGTGCCGTGCCCGCCTCTTCCCCAGTGCACCCACAATCGTACCCGCCCCACCCCGCATGATCTCTGGGGGGTGGGGGAGATGGCCATGATCTTTGTTGTTCTTTGTCACTCTGCTTCAGATTTTTGTGAATAAAAAAAATAGTTGCAGAACGGATTAACCTTATTTACATTGACCCTTATGGGGAAATTTGACTTGGCTCACGACCAGTTTGGGTCTCGACCAGAGTCCTAGAAAGGATTAAGTTCGTGAGCCAAGGTACCACTGTATGAGTGATTTTATCAGCCTGACTCCTTTGCTCCTGTTCAAGCATAGGAGGGATTGAGGCAAAGCTGAGGGGTTTTGGAAGGGGCAGTGCACCTCAGCTGAGCCTCACGCCTCCCCTCCACATGGACTCCCCCTCCACATATACACACATACCAGCTTCAGCAGCACTTGCCATTTCAGAGCCATAGCTGGAGTGGAAGAAACCATGCCAGCTGCAAGTACAGGGGACGATGCTGCACAGCCGGGGTCCGACTTCCAACCTCGGAATGCATTTCTGAAGTTGGAGCTGAGACTCTGTCAAATCCTGTGACTGTTTAGACAGTGTCTAGTGGTCATAGGATTGCACAATTAAATTCTGACACAAACCAATAATACGTTGAAAAAATGTGCAAGGCAGAACCAACATTACAATTGACCTGTATGCATGCTTGCATCAAGATAGTATTGGTGTGGCCTAGCCTAGCCCTCATATAGATTAATTTCATTTTTATTCCTGGCTTTATTCTGGCAGCCAAGCTTCAGTGCCAAGTGTCCTGCTGTACAGAATCATGCTCTGCATATTGAAAATTATGTTTTCCTGCCTTGAAATGTAACTTCTGTTATATAGTTCTAGTTCTTTCAACAGCTACATCAAATGAAGTACTCTGGATTTAATCATTTGTACTGAACAATAGCCTGCCCATCCAGGTACTTTCATGACCCACAGGTGTGGTGGGTTAAGAACAACATAATCATAGGTCTTACATGCAACGGTTCTATACTGCAATCCTATAAGGCCAGTAACAAGGCCAGTTTCAAATAAATGTATCTATCATGGCTACCGTCATCCTTAAACTCCTTTATGCTGCTGCTTTGTTTCTTGAAAGTGCATCTCTATTTCATTTTTGTACCACCCAATAGCCACATTATATCCAAGACATTTTAACTTATGTGGGTTCATTAACAGTACAATTACTGTGATGTTTACTCAGAAGTAAATCCCGCTAGGTTCAGTAGAACTTACTACAAGGTAAGTGATTATAGGATGACTTACTGTTTTGTGAACACTGCTAAAATATACTAGAGGTCAGTTGGTCTTGCTTACAATCACAGATCTTGGTGTTCCTTGGAAGGCCCTTACAAAACAAGCCCATAAACTAAAATAAGGTAAGGGTTCATAACCCAAATAATTTAGGGAACTGTCCTATGGTCCTTAGATAGCATCTGGGGCACCATAGAATACTATGGATCCCCTCCTTTGCACCCAGACACAAAGCAGAGAAGGGGATCTGATTGTGGACCTTCCCAGCCCCTTGCAGCTATAAGGGAAGCTTCTCCTATAGGACAGCAAATGTCACTTTGAAGACTGCGTGTAGCGAATGTGAGTGTATACGAATTTATATTAACATCTAATAGTAAATTATATATTTCAATTTATATTTACAATCTCATTTAACAAAGCAGCCAGTTTGTTTGCTCATTTTAGTATTAAACATCATAATCATCATCGGTATTTCTGTATCGCCCAATAGCAAAAGCTCTCTGGGTCATGTACTACCATTATAAAATACAAAATAAAATGTCAGTGACAAGAACATATCATAACATTTCATTAAAAATGTAAGGCTGAATTTTAACTGCTTAAATGCTTAGACATAGTCATGCAGCTTGACCTCCTCAAAACAGCCAACAATGCTCGCCCCCCCCCCACTGCCCCCAGTGCTATTTCAAGCCATTAAATGCCTCAGCACAGAGGACAGTCTTAGTCTCATGCTGAAAAGACAGTAAAGTTAGTGCCAGGCAAGCCTCAGGCAGGTGGGATTATTCCATAATTTGCAAGCTACCACACCTAATATAATAGCATCTGTAAAGAGCTTGAAATCCCAGCTTAAAGTATACCTTTATAAACAAATAGAGCTATAACAACACTAAAATCAATAAATTGAAGCAGCATCATGATTAATTACCATTTATTACAAGCATATAAATGTTTTAAGCAAATAAAAAACAAAGTGTTCCTAAACAAGTGTGTTTTCACAGGGCATTTATATACCACCTTGTTTAATAAAATATCCTGATTTGATTTTCAGGGCAAGTTCATAAAGCTATCAGGCAGGAAATTGCATAGGTATGGGAGGTTGTTGACCTTTGTGCATGTGCAAGACATGACACAGCAGGTAGGCAGGTATGACCCTGAAGACAGTGAATGTCACTTTTCCCATCTTTTGTCTGCTTTTTGCTGGGAAGATCACCTGTGTCTCCCAGTCCTGTAGCCCACAGTTTTTCTTCTTTTTAGCAACTGTGAATAATCACTGATTGATTGATGGCCTCCTTGCTGTTCCTTCCCTTCCTATATCTTACGTCTTAACCTTTTAGAAGCCATCCATTCACATTTCCACAATTCAAAATATATAATTCTTCCTTTGGCTCCCATTTTTCACCTTTAATATCTCTGATCTGGATCTGGTAATATGGTGTATCTTATTTCCACCTTCACGGGCACTTTTTGGTTTTTCCAAGTTAGCTTTCCACTGTGGGAGCATATTCAATTCTCTGAGCGTGACCCATGCAAACTAAAAGTCTCATGAAGTGAACAGGATTCATACTTACAAGCATGATGTTGATTCTGTTATTGATATCTAAACAAAACAAACAGATGCTCCTGTATTTTGCCCTAGGTCATATCCTATGAAGATAGGACCTAGTTTCCACCAATGGAATAGTACTTTTCTGGTTGGAGCTTTTTATGACATGTTGGTTTTCATGCATAAGGCTTTGGTTTTTATTCATGAAATAATCCCTTATATATTTCACAATATATTGAAACTGTAGTCCAACTCCTGTAATATTTTAAAGACCCAGCTTTCTTAATAGGAACCACTTTTTCCATGGCAGAGTTTGTTTTAAAGTGTAGGAAGAGGGCAATATTTAAATTCTTTACTGTCATGGCGGCATATATGGGATAAATGCATTGGCTGTTGCATTGATGTTGCCTTGAAACACTGCAGGTTCATTCCTGAATCCCCTCGGTGGCTACTGTCTCAGGGAAGGATTCAGGAAGCGGAAGACATCATCCGGAGAGCTGCAGCAAAGAACCATGTGACGGCACCAGCAGTAATATTTGATCCTGTTGAGGTAAACTTGTGCCTGTATTTCATCAGTTGTCCAGTTTTTTCCTGACTCCTCCATTTGGGTATGGTAACACCTATGAAAACACTCTGCACCATGTGATAAAACCTGCCAAACCCCTTTCATAATGAGTTACTTTCATTTGCTTGCTGTGTTGCAGATATAAAAAGGCACTCTCAATCTTGTGATTGGGCAACAACCTGGCATTGTTTCCCAGCTTTCTAAAACAATGCAGCACCATTCCCATATTTTGTGTGTTAAAGTTATATATGATAGGCTTTTACCAGATTATCTGTTTGTAGCATAGCAGATGCACAGCTCCTGCTTGTTGGGTGCTCAGGTTTATAGATATCTTCCCTATTTTTGAAGTCATTTTCCCAAGTCATAGACCATAGTAACCCTGATTATGGGGTATATGTAAATCTGTCCCAGCCAAGAGACCATTACAACTTAGCATGTTTACTAGAATGAGGCTGGGCAGATGTCTTAGGAACATTCTGGATAGGGCTTTTAATATCTCCAGTAAATACCACCATTTCACATTGTCAATGCTGTGCTTACTGGGTATGTCTTCAGGCTCATTACCGAGGTGAGACGTCAGAGTGGTTCTCTGCAGTTCACCTAGTGAGTAGACAGTTTCAGGGCCTTTGGAGGGTTCTTTCTAGGCCAAACCTCTTTCTGTGTTGAGCATATGATATTCCTTCACAGAATGTTGATGCAGTGGAGCCGTCCACATACACAAGCTCACACAGTAGCACATATAAACCTTCCAACCAGCTTTTCATTAGTACTACAAAACTGTTTTGCATAGACTAAAATTGCAGGTGAGGTTATGCTTTGAACTGATCCTCAGAATAAGCCTTTAGGCAACTCATGATCAGCAGTAAACTTCCCAACCCAAACATAACAGGTTATGTTTAACCTGGCTAACAGGTGCTTGAGAAGTCACACTTAACTCTTCAGCTGGCTTCTGCCTGCATATAATTTGGATTCTTGGCTCTGGATAAGATCTAACTTGGTTTTTGAAGGGGTAAAAAAGAAACATCAGAAGCATAAATAAGAAGATTCAGTACGGTGATGCAAGAGAAGGCAGCCATGTGTAACCAAATGCATGGCCAAGACTTCACCGTAAAACAAGATTAAGTTGAAAATATTTTTTGCCCTACACAGTTTGTTTGCAGTCATCCTGTTGACTTATATCACAGATGCTTAGCCAACAGAAAATTGGCTGGAAAGGACAGGAGAAGGCTTTCAGTCAGGGATATCTAAACTGGAATAGTCTCTCAAGAGAGATTCGTTGCCTGCTTCTGAGTGGATCCTTGAGACTATTTTATTCAAGCAAGCATTTTTTTATGTTAAATAGGATTTTAGTTCTGCTGCTGTTTATCTGCTGATTCCCACACAGAATATGTATATCACATATTTCTTTCTAGGAAACTCACTTATATCTGGAAATTTTTCCTGGCAGGGAAAGAGCCGTTTCATGGGATAGCACTGTCCTTCCAATCAAAGCCAGGGCACTTCAGATTTGCTTTTGAGTAAAAATAGAAATGTTGGAAGATCCGGTTTCATCTGCTTTGGCCCTGAGGCAAATCCTTTACATATTAGCCAGCAGAAGTGGAGTGGTGATTGAACTCTAAATTACAAAACACTCCAGGATTTTTTAAAAAATGATTTAATTTATATCTTGTCTTTCTATCAAGAAAATGGCAGTCGGGATAACTATAATGGCACTCAGGGCTACTGTCTTCAACTTGTCCTGTATGTTGATATAAATTGACCTGATGTAGTACACATTTTTATGGCACTACCTACATGCTGTTCAACATGTTTAGTAGCCATGAATATGGCTGCTGAAAATGTTACACTTTCCTCCATTTTCTGTTGTTCAAAATCCACATTAAACTTGCAGGAAACTTCCGTGTAGTTGGTACAGTGAAAACTAATTGAAGACTTGCTTGAGAAGTTATTGGGGTAGAACAAAGAACTGTTGGTCCTCGGGAGACCACTTGAATCACAATAAAGCTTGCACAAAGGCTAAAATAAAGGTTCCCTGGTAAATCCTTACATAGATGCAGAACCATGTGTATTTATGTGCACACACAGTGCTCAACACAATCTACTTTTGAGTAGAATGAATTCTCCACTGTTTCAAGGGTGGTACCATCACAAACTGGCTGCTGTGCAGGTGCCCATTCTTAAAATGGCTGCTGGAACACCCATTTCACAAAAAGATAAATTATGCAGCGTACACCACCTGAACACATACACTTTGACCACACACTCCTAGTGCTCAAGGAGTGCACCACTCATCCCAATCACTTGTTTGTTTTCTACTTTTTCTATCACTGCCACTTTCACAAGCGCTCTCCCCCCTCCCCCCCCCCATAAATACATGCACACATAATGACAATCTTAAGGATAGAAAACACAGGTTGAAATGAATAGCACATGCCTTCCCTTCCCTCTAAAAAGCCAGTCACTATGATTCAGAGTATCTGAGATTGCAATCCAGTACACACCTCCCTTGGAGTAAATTCCATTTCTGTAAGTGGGACTTACTTCTGAGTAGACGTGCTTAGGATTGGACACAAATGCAGTCCTCAGTTGGCATCCGTGTAACCTTAGTTAACCTTGAAGGCATGTGAGATCTAATTTGTTATATATACAGCAGTGGGCATGGGAAGTAAGCAGACATTTGCAGAGGACATTATAAAACTTTTTAATTGCAGGCAAGGAAATGTAAGAATAATATATATTTATGGAAATTCAGAAAGCATGGTCATCAGATCATTTTGATTAAATGCCGGCATTTCTAGGAACTATCATTTAAAAATGCTCTTTTCTTGCATTGAAGAACTTGAAGAACTTTAAATGACAACAATATGGTCTTGGATGCAAGAATGCTTTCTTTTCACTAGACATACAACTGATATTTTCTACTACTTGCCAACCATTTTAAAAAGTATTCTAATGATACGGTTCTGGAGGGAAAAAGAGAGTTTCACATGTATGTGTTATGTTCCTGTCCATAGATCCAAGATTTTAATTCCCAGGACCAGAAGACATACAACATTTTGGACATAGTGAGGACCCAAAACATACGTTCTGTCACTATCATGTGTGTAATTTTATGGTAAGTATCTGGGCAAGACTCCTAGCACACTCTCTGATGTCCATAGCCCAGGAACCACATTTCTGAAAGCCTGCCACTCTAAGTTGATAAAATGGCTTATTTTACATACAGATAATATGGCATTTTACATAACCTTTGCATACAGAAGTGTATGTGGCACTTTATGGAGAACCATATGCAAATATTGGTGCTCCAATCAAAATCACAAATGTTTGTTACTCCTCTAGTATTTCATTCCTCTAGTATTTTTAATGTGTTCCTATGATTCACTCACCCTTAATAAGTCATGACGAAAGGGTTATTTGTGTGTTTGGGTGATTGCCACAACAGATACATCCTACTTTCTCTTGGAATTGGAAACAATAAAATGAGTAAGCTCTCACTGTTGCCAGACAGTATTGCTTCCTGTCACAAATTTAAATTATTCTCCATTTAAAAAAATCACTCCACATAAAAATTAACATACCAGGGGGACATTTTTAGAATACATTTTCTTAGTTTGCTAATTTTGAATGTACGGAAAGATTTGTATTTGAGGAAGCCTTCAAACAGTCATGCCTCCACCTGCAGTCTGAAGTCTTGCTATCTGCTAAGACAAGGCGGCTGGTCATGTATGAGCTTTAGGAACCACAGAAACTTGAGCAAGATGAGGATCTGTTTACATGGTAGTAGAGCTTAGATCATCAGCCTCATTATTTATTTCATTTCTATACCAATCTACAGCTGAGCTTCCAAACAAACAATACAAGGAATGACAAAAGGGTGATTCTGTGAAACACCTGCTGATCGCCATCCAGCCCAGGGGTGACCGAATAATTCTTTAAAGGCCTCAGAAAAGAAGGTCATCCTACCCTGGTGCCAAGAAGATGGCAAATTCAGTAGCAACCAGGCCACAGAGGGGAGGTCATTCCATATATCCCCTAAACGGCTTAGGCCCTGGTTATCTTAAGGAGCGCCTGTTTTTGCCTATCCAGCGTTGGAGATCTATGCAGGGGGGCCATCCCTTAAGGAGGACAGGGGGATGGCTGCTAGGAGGGCCTTTTCTGCAGCTGCTCCCCATATTTGGAATACCCTCCTCAAGGAGATTCACCTGGTGCCTTCCTTAATTTCTTTTTCGGTGCCAGGCAAAGGCCTTTAAAAAAAAATTAATAACTAATGCCATAAGACCTTTGTTTTGCCTCTTCTGCTTGTATTTTATTGTTATTTTATTTTCAGTGTGTTACTGGTTTTTATTGTGATTTTATTATGTTTTTATCTTGTAATTGTGAGCCACCCAGAGGTGCTGTGGCACAATTGGGCGTCATACAAATGTTATAGACAGAGCGATAGCTGGGGAGCCATGACTGAGAAAGGTGTTCCCCTTCTTGCCTCAGAGGTGCACTTGGAGGAAGGCCCCAGAGGCTGAGCATAATGTCTAAGCAGAGCACCGTTGGAAGGTGTTCCAGCAGGTATTGTGGTCCGAAACTCCTGAAGGCTCCATAGGTTAAAACCGTCACCTTGGTTTGGGACCAGAAGCATACAGCCAGCCAGTGCAAGCGGGCCAGAACCAGTTTGGACCTGTGGGTTCTGGTTAGTAAGCTGGCTGCTGCATTCTGTAGCAGCTGCAGCTTCTAAACCGTCTTCAGGGCAGCCCCGTGTAGGGTGCATTGCCGTAGTCTAATTTAGAGAATATTTAGAGATGAACAATATTCCCCAAGCACCACTTTTGGAGACAGCCCTCCAAATAGGAATGGAACCACTGCAGTGCGGTGCCCCCCACTCCCAGTTCAGACAGTTGCCCCAGAAGGATGGTACTGAAAGCCGCCAAGAGGTCCAGCAGTGTCAGCAGGGTGCACTCCCCTGTCTCATTCCCAGCATAGGTCATCATACAGGGCCAACAAGGCATTTTCCATGTCAAACCAGAACGGAACCCCAGTTGAAAAGGATCCAGATAATCAATTTCATCCAAGAGTGCCTGGAGTGGACTGGCAACCAAATCTCAAGAACCTTGCCAAGGAAGGGGGTCTTTACTATCAGCCTGAAGTTCTGACTTCCCAGTTCAAGGGAAGGTTTCCTCAGGTGTGGTCTCACCACTGCCTCTTCAAGGCAGCATGGAGCCTCTCCCTCTTGCAAAGAGGCAGTTGAGGACCTCCCTGACCTAGCTGGTTATCCTTCCTTGCTGGCTTTTATGCTGCCGGTGGGGGGTGGGGGGGGGTGGGATCCAGCACAGGTGTGGTTGCACAAACCTGTCCCAGTGCTTTGGGGGCCAATTACACCTCCCTGGGGGCCACAGCACCAGTGTGCACGGCTAAATTTTGACAGCAGCAACAAGGTGCAAATGATTTCACCAAGCAACTACAGTGGTGATGATTAACAGATAAATTCAATTTAAAACAAAGTGTGTGTTGCATTTTAACACTGCAGTTGACCTTTTTAGACTACTGTCACCGCCACCGAAATTTGCTGGCAAACTTCCAGTTTTGTCCTGCTTCCAGCACAGGACCGGGGCAGGGTGACCTTAAGACCAGGAGCATGCACACACAGTGTACCAGTTCAAGCATTTTTTCCTCCTGACAAAGGCGGAAAAGACTACAGCACAGCATGTCCAGACTTCTGTGGTGCAGGCCCACCTCTCCTGTGATTTTATGAGTGTGGTGGGGAGAAGGGTGCATGTCCTTGCCCAGTGACAGGAACCCAGCTCTGGAAGGGTTTCTCATGAGAACAGTGGCAGCTGAGGCAGTTGCTGCTATGGGATACTTGTTGCCACATGTTTTGCCACTTTTAAATAAAATAGGCTCCTAGGTCACTGCAGCACTGTTTTGAAGACCCTCCACACTGATTACAATCTAGATCTGTCTTTCAGGATGGTCATTTCCATAGGCTACTTTGGCCTGTCTTTGGACACTCCTAACTTGCACGGAGACATCTATGTCAATTGCTTCCTTTCGGCAGTAATAGAAGTCCCAGCTTATATCATGTCTTGGCTGCTCCTCCAGCAACTGCCCCGGCGATATTCAATGGTAGGAAGCTTGTTCTTAGGAGGCTGTGTCCTTCTCTTCATTCAGCTGGTGCCTACATGTAAGAACATTTTCTTGGCATAAATATTTTCTTCCTTTTGTAGATGTAATCCACAGGAACATCTAGCTTGACATCAGGGTGAAAATGCCATGGTCTGAAATAGCACGATGAACTACTGACAGCCTGTGCCAATTAAAACTTTCAAGAAAATGGAGGTCTGTCCCATTGGGTGGTCATTATGCCTGAAGATTGAAATAACATAGAAAGGGTACTCACAGTGTGTGGATGTGCTGTCAGCTCTCTTTTTATAGTAATCTGCCCTAGCATGCCAGCAGTCTGAACACAAATATGTGGGCTTTGGGCTTTATTTGATTTGCTGCTTCATCATAAACTAAATTCACACAGAAAAGAGTAAAATGTTGCATCAGAATAAATGGTGTCACTAGAGTCTTTATTGTATTTTGCTGAAATAAACCAACATGGCTAGTATCTCTGGATATACAATCAAAAATATGTAAAGTATGGAATAAGCAAGTAACAGCGGAGGCAGGAGAGAGATAAATGGTTACTGGCTTGACTGCAGAGTTGATGTCACACATCTTTGCTCTCCCTTGCAGACCTCAGTGTTGTATCTATCATCTTGGTGATGGCTGGAAAGTTTGGGATCACAGCTTCCTTTTCCATGGTTTATGTATATACCGCTGAGCTCTACCCAACAGTTGTGAGGAACATGGGAGTTGGTGTTTGTTCAATGGCCTCCAGATTTGGCAGCATCTTCTCACCTTACTTTGTATATCTTGGTAAGTGACCCACCACCTTACTTCCTGCCAGGCCAAGTGCCAGTGCCCTAACTTTTTAGTGTTACAACGACCTTTTCCCTTTCACAAAGTCACTTTCCAATACTTGGTTCTTCATCACACCTGAGAAGTCTCATCCCTTCCACTGCAAAAGAACATTAACAGAAGTGGGGAAGCTGACCTACCATCAATGACCTTTCTGTTGAGGAACCTCTGATAAGCTTCCACAAAATCTCAGGGGTTCTCAGCTTGAAAACGGTCGATGTAAAGCATCTGGACATTAATCACTCATTACAATATCATAGAATAGTAGAGCTGGAAGGGGCCATGAAGGCCATCAGGTCAAACCCCCTGCTGTTCCAAGAGACCAATTCACAGCACCCTATTCATAGAATAATAGAACAGAAGAGTTGTACAGGGAGTCTACCCAGGGTCGTACGGTCTCAAGGAGATGCCCTCCTTTTAGTACTGCCTCATTCAGAGATGTGTTTGGTGGCAACAGGAGGAAAAGCCTTCTTGGTGGCTGTTCCAGGCTATGGAACTCCCTGTCAAGGGAAGCTAGGTTGGCTCCATCCATTCTATCCTCCTGCCAGCAGGCAAAGATATTTTTATTCAAGCAGGCCTTATAAGCTGGCCTCTTGGTTTTGGTGCTATTTATTCTGTTGTTGTATTTTAATTAATTTCTGTTTTAATCTACTTGTACAGTAAGTTTCCTTTGGTGCCATTTCCTTGGTAGAAAGACAGCATACAAATCAGTCAATCTATCAGTATTGTTGACCTTTTGTACTTTCTGTTAGGTGCCTATGATAGATTTCTTCCATACATTTTAATGGGAAGCTTGACAGTGCTTGCAGGAATCCTGACCCTGTTTCTCCCAGAAACTTATGGTATACCTCTCCCAGACACCACTGAGCAGATGCTAAGGGTTAAAGGGTAAGCTGTGCATTGTTTGCATGATAAAAGTAAACATATACTCCAAGTAGTATTGGTGTGGGTCTTGTAAAAACATTGGGAACTGATATGATTATAAAAGACATTAGAACAAAGCAGTGTATTCCTAACAAAAATTGTGGCAAACTGAAATTAATTGCAAATGAAAAGAGGGAAAATATAAAAGCCTTGATACCTAAGATATACAAACCAAATACATTCCCATTATTTATTTCTCTTGTGGCTTTTCCGGGTTAAATTACACATTTAATTAAATACTCCTTTTAAGAAACCAGTTTCTGCTGGCCATTTTATTTTGAAAGAATATTTAAAATCATGTTCCCAATCCAAACTGGAGCTCTGCACCAGTTTCCCAGTGGGGATGATTTGCTCTGGATGTGGGGTGGAATCCAGAGCAACACTTCAGGCAGCTGCTTTGTTCAAAATAAAGCAGCCAAGCTGAAGAACTTTTAAAAAATGTGTATTTAGCATAACATGTATTTTTTGGACCTTTAATAAAGAAAAATCCTACAGATGTTAGTTTTGCACTTGGAATTTAGTCAAATCTGTTTTGTGCATTGTGGACAAGCCATTTCTTTGAATATGAGGTGAAATGTACCATAGCATTTTGGATGAGTTTTTGTTTTACATTTCCTTTTTTATTTATTTACAGAATTAAATACAGAAATGCATCTAAAAGCCAAATGAGCCCAAATGATAAAGAAGAAAATTCAGTGATCCTAAAAACCACATCTTTGTGATGAAACTGCCTTCCATACTATAGTATGAACTGAAAAGTACTCAATCAACCCTTTAATTTACTCCTAGAAAGAACTTTTTCCTATGACAATGCACTTATTTATTAAATTACATTCAGTTTTGTGAATGTAGATACTGTATATCCCACTGTGGGATCTCAGCAAGCAACTGGGTAAGTTCTGCGGGACAATGTCAGATCTCTTGGCCCATTTATAAGATAAATGGGGGAGCAGGGCATGGTTGAAATTCAGTGAACATTGGCCAAAAGTGAAGAGTGTTATGGAGTTCCAGTACTGCCATGCGTCAACATACAACTTGGGATGCTGCTTCTGTTTGTTCAGAAAACTTGAAGCATCAAAAGTTGTGGGTAATATCAGGATTAGTAGACATGAAATAAACCCTATACAAATGATTTTATGCAATAAAGTCAGAAGAAATCAACGCTGAATCTTTTTATCAACATTTGATGTAGAGACAGAAACACAGTTTTCATATGCAAGACATTGGCAGTTTAGTTTTGTTTGCAAAACTATTTTACTTAGTTAAGGTGTAGTTTTAAATACCACTAGTACATTTCTTTACATCTGAGAATGATGTTTTGCCTTATTTAGGCATATACCTTTTTTTAATAAACAGATCAAGTTGCATCTAATTTTTTTCTCTTTCAGTATTCGATTAGTTAAGTTGCCTCTAAGTTGCCTCTAACTCTGAAATGAATGCATACCTGTATTTCCGAGTTCTCTAATTTTTACTGAACTCTGCCTGAAATACTTCATACTAAAGGCCCAGTCCTATGCAGGCTTAGGCAAAAAAATGTCCTACATCTCCCAGCGTGCTGCAGCCAGCAGAACTGGCGCGGACTTGAAGGGCTTTTTACCATCTAAGCTTCCAAAGCCTGGATTCATTCTGTGCGGAGCAGAAGGTGCAGCAGTGGCCCTCTTGGCGAGCCTGCACCTCACGCCCTGCGTGTCAGCTGGGTTGCTTTGTTCAGCCACTGAGGTGAATTACCATGGAGGGGAAAGGAAGGAGGGAGGGGCAACATTGGGAGACGGCCTCATTCTTGCCTCCCCCCATCACAGCCCATGATCCCTCTTCAGTGCTGATTTCCAGACACACAGACTAGCACAGTTCCTTCCATGCTCGCTGCAAGCAGGGCAGACCGGGCCTCTGCAGGTAGAATCCCAGCTGCACAGTTGGAGGATCTCAGAGCTGGGGCTCCAGATAACCTATGGTCAGGGCCATGGGACTGTGCCCAAACTGTGTTACAATGCAGAATTTTATTATTTTAACTAAATGTGCTGATTTCAACTTGCCTAAAGCCCTAACATTGCCTTTACAGTAAGCATAGAGTTTGTTACTTTAAAGGAGTATCATGAAATTACAAAAAAAGTGTAATGCCTTAACCGTTGTGACAAAACTACCATGAAATTTTGTCCACCAATACTATGATGATCCATTGGTTACTCTTCTTTAAATAAAACCTGTAACTGGAATTACATTAAACATTGAATTACATTGTGACAGGCTTATATTACCTGTTTTGATCTATATGGGGTCCATTTTGAAATAGTTTTAAGAAATATATGGTAACATCAGATTAGACTTTGTTTTAATAATTTGTCAGCATCCTTGGAATTTATCACAGGTGATATATAAATGCCTTTAAATAAGCAAGATCCCTTTGTTTAATTACCAAGGTTCATAGAGAACCCTTCAGTAATGCAGCCATTTACAATCATTCCAAAAATAATATCACATGAAAATTACTATCTTATAAACACAGCACTCCTTCCTATTTCCCTAAAGACTGCTGCTGCTGTTAATAAAGCATATCAGTTCAGGAAGCACTTGTTGGTACCTTCATTAGACAGTTGGACTTTACATTTTTAGGTTGTGAAATTAGGAAGCACTACAAATTTCCCAGCACTAAAATACCTAAATCCAGTTTCTTAGAAACAGCTACTCTAGTCCCAGTAAGACTAACTTATATTCCTATGAGCTACTGTGGTGTAGCATCTGCACTTGTGCTAAAGATGGTGCCCATGGCATCACTACCAGGTATATGCAGAGTCCTTCGCTTAACACTCTTGGAAAGGTTTAACAGAACAATCCCATTGAACCTTAGAGAACATTGCAAGGGCTAAAGGATATTGTGGATTTCTCCTGTTGATTGTAGGCTGTGTTCTCCAGAGAGGAATAGCCAAGCAAAGATTTCCTGATGTAACCTCAAAGAGAATCAGGGAGGAAGAAAGGGAGAAAGGGTGTGGAGGAGAGCAGAAGAGTGGTGCAGATCCACTCCATGCAGCAGCCTCTCTGTTGCCACCCCCACCCACCAGGCAGTGAGGAAGCTAGACCGGCTGCAAGCAATGTGCCTGCAAAGTGCTCTTGCGATTGTGGCCTTTGTATATGAAAGTTGCATTTTCATCAGATTCCTGTTAAAATACTCATCATTGATTTTGAAAGTGTGTTCATTTGATATTTTCCTATTGATTGAATACATTATTCATTCCAAATAAAACTATTCTTTAAAAAACCTGATGGTGTCTTGGAAACTATCTTTCATGATGTGTAAAGCGTGCTTTCAAATATTTGGGGTTTTTTATTTTACTTGCCTCAGGTTTTCTGAGATTTCTCTTCATAATGTCCCTCTTCTGGTTAATTGTTTCAGTCTTTTGCTGTATCATCATTCTGTTCTTATATCTAATTCCTCTTGTAACTTCCTCTCACTTTTTTGTCTTCCTTCAATTATCCACTCTTTCAGTGGTCCAGAAAAGATAGGAAGAGGTGGCTTTTCCCCTTAACTGGAACCGCTGGTAGATTCTAGCTGTTAACATGTAGGAAGAGCATAAGAACATGTTTAAATTCAGGAGATACCATCTACAAATCTTCAAGGTATACTTCAGGTCTGAGTCACTATAAAATCATAGTTTCAAATGATTTAGTTAGTTATTAATTATACATATTCCAACATGCTTTTTTTCCTTGGAAAGGGATAAGAAAACTGTAACAAGCATAATTTTATATATGGCTTATTTGGGACAGAGGGGCAGTCAAAGTGAGCTTAAAAAGCTCCTATCAGTCAAGGAGCAAGTAGCATCAATGGCGCTAGTGGAGAAAAAGTGATTTCCTTCAGAACATAGTAGTGTTACCCAGATAAAAGCAACAAAAGAAACGCCAAGAGACAGTGTCAGGTATCTAATATAAACCTCCATGGCAAGGAGTCTCCCTCCACCTTAACAATCAAGTGTGGAGGCTTGTCCAATCCACCCAACACCCCCCTCCACACCCTTCCACAGCGTCCTTTTCTTTCAATCATCCATTACCCACATGGTTTCTGCAGGACAGGAAGTCCTTGTAGGTCATCCCCCCATGGCCAGTTGAAGAGCATTCTTGGATCCATGCTAGAATAGAGGTTTTAGCTCCACATGGGCCTTCTGTGCCTCATCCCTGGCCACAGTTGATGCAGGCAATTTCAGAGGGCTGGTTGGGACCAGTGTTGAACACCAAAGGATCATTTTCCATTTTTCTATAGTAACACATCTCACAATGTTGTTCAGGAGACAACAAAGCACCATCACACCTGAGATAACGTTTTCTGCATTGACAGGGAATCCCACCACCCCTTTAGGTTTCCAGGGACATGCTGCACAGGGAGATTTATGCATCTGTGGTGGTAGTTGAACTTCTTCAACCTGGCTGTTCTGTGGACCATCAGCTGTGACTGCAATGTGAAAGCTCAGTCACCCAGGATCAGGAGCAGATGGTCTTGTCTTTGACAATGGTCTGCAGACTTTTGAAGAAGACACCTTTCTCCAGTGTGGCAGCCAGGGAAGGAACGCAGAAGGTAGCTGTATCATGACTGTTCAGGAATTCCAGCATGCACTTCTGGAAACCTCCCCTTGGAGTCAGTTAAGTTCTGGAGTTAAACTGGAGTTAAACTTCTCCAGTTAAACTACTCTTCAGCCCTGCTTCTTTTGGTGGAAGGCACACCTGGTGGTCCAGAGAGAGTGATGGTGGGCATGCTTTTTATTAGTTATATGAATGTGTTTGTTCTACATTTTGCCTATTACATATTAATTATTAAATTATTGTATTATTATACTACTATTTTAATCATTGCAAGCCGTCCTGAGACATGTTTATCGGGAAGGACGGGATCAAAATGTGTTAAATAAATAAATAAATGCTGTGCAGAAGAGCAAAACTGGATGTGCTTGCCCAAGCTGGATAAGGCTCTATCATTCTGCAAGTAAAAGGAGTGAGGAATGGGGCCTTTCTAAATGGTGACTAGGTGCTCTTCATGTGCCACGAGTGTACTCACGGGGCTTGGAAGGGAGAGATTCTGGTTCCTGCAGTCTGGCCAGGCATAATGACCCTGCAAGCAAGGGGGTGCTCTGTCAAAGGAGAGGGTGGTTGGAGGGTGACTGGGGTGGGATGCATAAGTAGCCCCTTTTTTCGGCTGCTCTGAAAACCATGGGAAAGGATTGTGATAGTGTGTGGACTCCTGGGCCTCTGGGCTGGCTCTCAGGTTAATTAAAACGCCCACTTCTTCAGCCCAAAAGTAGGAGCCACTCTCTTCTGGGCCTCCTCTTGCTCCCCTTCTGTTGCTCATGGCTGTTTCCTCCAGTGATGACTGGAGGATCTTGGGAGGCTGCAATGCTTTGGGAGAAGAGGCTGGATAATAGGGAGTGGATGTCAGCATCCTCCCCAGCATCTGTTCAGTCCAGGGACTGGGAGGGTTACAGTTACTTAATCCTAAAATGTAGGTTAAATAAAATACAGTCATGGTAAAGATGCAAAAAGTTCCATGTGGTGTGAGGAAAGGGGACAGGACCTCTCCGTAGTAGAACATGCACTCATCTAGTGAAGCTGGGTGGTGGGACCCCCAGGACAGAAAAAAGGAAGCATTTCTGCACAGAGTACGGAGTCAAAATAGGCACTCCAGCACCTCCCTCTGGCAGGTAGAAGGTGTAGAGTGGGCATGGAGTCCTCCAGTTCTTGTTCAAAGAAGAATCCATGATGCACCATGCTTTCTTTTTAAGCTATGTAAACTGAGGGAGCAACATTAAACTTCCGTAAGCAAGGCAAACGGTTGATTTTGTGTGAGATGTGGAATGCCAGCTTGGGGTTTCTTGCATGGGGGCTTGGAGGCATTTCACTTCTTGTTTCAGGTTCTTATGTATATCATGTGACTGGGTGCACTCACCGTTTCTTTGGAAAACTGCAGGGGTCAGGATTTCAGGGGTAAAGGGCTGCGCAGAGTCAGGCACTTGTGCTTGGGGTAAGTGACCTTGAACCCCCCAACAATTAGTTCTATGAACGAGGGGGCCCTTTTCGCCATGCTTTGCCTTAAGTGCTTTGCCTGATGCCTGGCCCACAGAAGGCACATGCACTTCTGTCTTCTCAGACTGGTTTTTCCTTGTCTGTTAGCCCGCCCTATTTGCTCTTTCTCTGCAGAATGGGACAAAGCAGTGCAGAAAGAAAAGTGAAAGCAGCCGTAGTCAGTTTTTCTGTTTTCATCTGGCAGTCTGAGGTTTTCAGTTGGCAGCATCAGATACAGAAGATCAGGCCGTCATGGAAAATGGGCTCCTTTACACATCTAGAAATAGTCAGACCTGCTAGTTCTACCTGGATTGAGGCTTACTAGTGGCTCTCATTCCCTCTGACTAACTGACCACCTAAAGGTCTTTGAGGACAACCAAAGAGAAGAAAAACTGCATTGGCTAGTAATGCAATGGTTTCATACAGCACTAAGAAAGCAAAAGTGCATGAGGATTATTCTGGAGTGGAAGACCATCTTTTAAAAGCCTATCGGAAGAGAAGGAGCTCTGGAAAGATAAGTAGCTAATAGAACCAAAAAGATTGGGGAGGGGAAGCTGGTGGGCCTGGTCCTCCTCATTTGCATTGGGGAAGGAGGGTAGTGGTCTTTCTTTGTCCCTCATCTGCCACCATTTGCCTTATTGCAGATGAAAAGTTCTGTGAGACCCAAAAGCTAGCTTAATTATTTGCTGATTTGCCCTCTGGCCCTAGACAAATTATGATGATACTTTTTAGAGTCTAATACAAAATTGTAAGGTATACTATGGAAGAAGATACAGTGTAGTCAGAAAGCTGTTGTCCCATCACTTCTATTTTTCTTGGAACCTTTGTGGTTGTCACCCATCTGTTTTCTGACTTCAGGGTCACTTTCTCTTCTTCAAGGCCTAGGGGGTTTGGATACCTGTTCAAGATGAGTTTGTTTGCACTTATCTCTCATAAGAGCTTCTGTGCTGTTGTTCTGCTTGTGTGTGCACTTGATAGGTCCAGTAACCCTTTAGTCTAGCTCTTACCATCTGTAACTTGGGGCAGTGGGTGGGGACCAGGATTATATGTAGGTACACAGAATAGGCATATACCATGGATCAGTCTTAAATTTAGTGGAGACACCAAAAAGTAGGGAGGCACTTCATGAGGGTTTCAGATCTTTTAAATTATAAACTGCTTTTTAATTGTTTCTTAAAAACAGAACATTTAGGGGAAGCACACCCCTGCCTGGCTACAGGCTCACACATCATTTGTGGAACTGCTTGAAATTATCTGTGCAGCTTGTCTAATCAAGCAACATCTGTATTTTATTTTTGTAGCATACACACACATTTAGACGTGACTAATCCTGCTGCTTTGCTTGTGTGGTTTATAACTGAAATAAGGTGCTTGCTGTGGATTATGCATTTCAGAATAAATTTCCTCTGTGGGTTGCAGATGTGCATTTGAAATAGTAAGACTTTTAACGGCAAAGGATGGAGAATGGAAGCCTGGCAGAGAAAACTGCCGAATTTTGCAGAAAAAGGCAGGTTGGAAACCCCCTCACTTTCCTTTTTCCTCTAAATATCAAAAGTGCCCCCTCCTGAGGCTGCTTTTGCTTGTGCAGACTACCAGAGCTTTGTTCCTCTTGGTATTTGCATGACTATGACTTTCTTCTTGGTCCTGTTTTTAACATTTAAGCTGCTTTGCTTAATTTGGTCTTTGCTTTGTTGTGACAAAGTTTTAAGTCCATGGACCTGGCTGCAGTGAGTGACCAGGGACCAGCCCTGCATGAGTGCGTGGGATTGTGAAGGGGCTGACTCAGTTTCCATATGGGGGGAGGATAGTTCACAGGGTTCAGCCTCCTCCGATGTGTCGTTCCCCAGATGATTTGGATGGTAGCTCCCAGGATTGCTGATGACAGCCATGTTGGTTGGGGCTGGCAGAGGCTGATCAAGAACATCTGGAAAGTTATCAGAATGGAGAAGGCAGTATGAAGCAATTACTTTTCAGTGTTGGCCAGTTTTAAAGAGAAGAGCCCTTCCAGAAGCTTTGTCATCTTTGTGGGAAGCGACAAGTATTTAGAGTGTGGAGATTTGCATGTAGTTCTGTTTGTTGGAATTTCCTGCTGCCTTTCTCAGGCATCCAGCTACCCATAGCAGAACTACATTTCTTACTATGATCTGCCAGCTCAGACATCATGCTACCACACAGTTCACATGAGCCACAGTTGGAAACCCACATCGAGCCATCGA